CCAGCGGGGAGGAGCCGCTTCGCGACTCTCCCCGCTGGACCCCGTCTAGGCCTTATGAATCGAGCACCCTTCCACAGACAGTTATCCTGAAGAAAGAAACCCATCTCCCATGCAAAGCTCTTTGTATTGGCATGCGGCGCAAGATTGAACTGTTAGTCTCGTTATTAGGCCTGCGGCGCATGTTTGATCGGCTAGGTCGCTACCTCATCCTGCGGCCCAAGCTTGAGGGATTAGCCTCCTTTTTTGGCCTTTGGCGACAGCTTGAGCGGCTGGCTTCGTTCTGAAGCCTGCGGCGCTAGCGAGCGGCTGGCTTCGTTCTGAAGCCTGCGGCGCTAGCTTGAGCGGCTGGCTTCGTTCTAAAGCCTGCGGCGCTAGCTTGAGCGGCTGGCTTCGTTCTAAAGCCTGCGGCGCTAGCTTGAGCGGCTGGCTTCGTCCTAAAGCCTGCGGCGCTAGCTCGAGCGGCTGGCTTCGTTCTGAAAGCCTGCGGCGCTAGCTTGAGCGGCTGGCTTCGTTCTAAAGCCTGCGGCGCTAGCTTGAGCGGCTGGCTTCGTTCTAAAAGCCTGCGGCGCTAAGCTTGAGCGGCTGGCTTCGTTCTAAAGCCTGCGGCGCTGAGCTTGAGCGGCTGGCTTCGTTCTAAAGCCTGCGGCGCTAAGCGAGCGGCTGGCTTCGTTCTAAAGCCTGCGGCGCTAGCTCGAGCGGCTGGCTTCGTTCTGAAGACTGCGGCGCTAGCTTGAGCGGCTGGCTTCGTTCTAAAGCCTGCGGCGCTAGCTTGAGCGGCTGGCTTCGTTCTGAAGCCTGCGGCGCTAGCTTGAGCGGCTGGCTTCGTTCTAAAGCCTGCGGCGCTAGCTCGAGCGGCTGGCTTCGTTCTAAAGCCTGCGGCGCTAGCTTGAGCGGCTGGCTTCGTTCTAAAGCCTGCGGCGCTAGCTTGAGCGGCTGGCTTCGTTCTAAAGCCTGCGGCGCTAGCTTGAGCGGCTGGCTTCGTTCTAAAGCCTGCGGCGCTAGCTTGAGCGGCTGGCTTCGTTCTAAAGCCTGCGGCGCTAGCTCGAGCGGCTGGCTTCGTTCTGAAGACTGCGGCGCTAGCTTGAAGCGGCTGGCTTCGTTCTAAAGCCTGCGGCGCTAGCTTGAGCGGCTGGCTTCGTTCTGAAGACTGCGGCGCTAGCTCGAGCGGCTGGCTTCGTTCTGAAGACTGCGGCGCTAGCTTGAGCGGCTGGCTTCGTTCTAAAGCCTGCGGCGCTAGCTTGAGCGGCTGGCTTCGTTCTAAAAGCCTGCGGCGCTAGGCTTGAGCGGCTGGCTTCGTTCTAAAGCCTGCGGCGCTAGCTCGAGCGGCTGGCTTCGTTCTAAAGCCTGCGGCGCTAGCTCGAGCGGCTGGCTTCGTTCTGAAGCCTGCGGCGCTAGCTTGAGCGGCTGGCTTCGTTCTAAAGCCTGCGGCGCTAGCTTGAGCGGCTGGCTTCGTTCTAAAGCCTGCGGCGCTAGCTTGAGCGGCTGGCTTCGTTCTGAAGCCTGCGGCGCTAGCTTGAGCGGCTGGCTTCGTTCTGAAGCCTGCGGCGCTAGCTCGAGCGGCTGGCTTGATTCCTTGGCCTGCAGCGCATGCTTGAGTGGGTAGCTTCATTCTATAGGCTGCGGCTTGAGTGACTAACTTCATAATAACGTCCTTACACGGAAATCCACTCCGAAACGCGCTTTCCGAGCAAAAAGCAAAACAACTAAAATGTCCGAGGATCGAACCTCCGATGGTTAGATTAGCACGGCGAAACGCTAACCACTACACCATGCAATGCCTGGTAGCACGCGCCAAACACCCGTTTTATGCCTCAAGAGGACTGCCCGGGGCAGGGGAAGGAAAGGCATCGAGAGGCAGATCCAAAGAGACGACCAAAATCGCGAGTGCAACTGGCAAGAATGAGGAAATTTGTATTTTTTCACATTATGCAAATTAGCCCTCCCGGACCCCCAAAAATCAATAAAACCGGCTTTAACTTTGTTAACTTGTATTTTATCGGGATTCTGAAAGCGCCATCGGAAAGAGGAGGGTCGATTCCCCCGGGTGACGTAGAATTAAGGCATTTTATGCACGGGAAGGCCCTCAAATCGGGCCTCGAAAGTGACGGCCGGACACACACACAGACAAAGATACGCGACCAAATTATATAAGGTAGGAATTCTCGCTCCATGTATCGTATGATAAATTGGTCGTCGTTGCGAATTCTCTCCAGGACCCATATCAAGTCGGAAAATGTCTTTCCCTTACTCATTTCTGTCACAAACCAAATTGCAAAACCACCACATGTTCGTGTAAATATCGACTGATGTGGGTACGGATTGTAGAAAATTTGAGTTGCAAATCGGTTTATCCATTCGTAAATTGGGTTGTCAGGGAATGGTGCAACACCACCACTATCAAAATACCAAAGGCGACGCTCGCGATCACCTAACATTGCCACCCAGTGCGTACCGTCATCAGAGGCTGGGCTCAAATTAGCAATAACCGTAAAAGGAAAACGGGGAGGATCGGGAAGCTGGTCTGCCGGAAAAGTACCGAGAAAATGGCGGCGAGCAATAGGATGAGAAAATAACAGACGGTCGATCTTAAAATTGTTCATCGGCTTAAATGGGCAAAACAGAGATTTGACGTTGAGCGTCGATGGTGATGAGACCGCTGAACTCGCCGGCGACGACGACTTGTACCGCCTCCGCCAGAGCTGTGTGAAATTCGAGCCTTAAGCCACAGGCACCACGAAGCGCAAGTTGAAATTCGGACTCGGTGCTATCAAGGCTAGCCGGCAGCAAATCGATACAGTACACGGCGCGAGAATCCTGGAACATTTCGGGGCTGATACCATTAGTGCGTTGACTAGCCGTAAAGCCGAGACTTTCCGACATTTGATGCCAGGCGGGCATAAATCGACCATGATAATAGTCGAGATCATACGGACGTAGAGGCACCGTTGTACCACAAAAGTCCACGTAGATGTTCCGCAAATAGTTGTGATTGAAGCGGAACGGATCTTTTTCGTAGCTTCCGGATAGGGCCTTTGCATTCACAATCCCCACGAAAATACGTCGCGGGACCTGATTACCTGAAAAACACACGTATTCTTGCGTTAGAGCTGTGCCAGCGTTCAGAAAAAAGCTTTTCGTGACCATCTGGCGACATGGATACGTGGCCAGTTTTCCGCTTGCCAACATCCGGTTGATCGCGGAAATCGTCTGATCGAAGCACACGGCTTCAACGAGACGCAGCTGAAGCGATTTCAGTTCTACTCGCCACTTGCGTCCTGTATCGTCAAAATCGTTGATAAGAAAAGCGTCGGGCGACTTGAAAAGCTGAAGCATAATGTCCATCCCCGGCAGTAGCAGTCGGTTTGACGCTTCGATTCCTAGATCTAGTGAGGTAATCATCTGGAACGTCTTCCCGTCCTCGGCCCATTTGGCTTTTTCAATGTAACCAGGGTTAGTTTTGGCCTCCTTCCCATCGTCTTTGGCCGAGTAGAAAGAAGCTTTGCCAAGAAGAAACTCCTTCGCATCTTTTTCGCGACAGAATTCGTTGATAAAGAATTGGCGATACGGGTTCAGATTTCCTGTTTCAACGACCGGAATTCCATTCAGACTCAGCACAATGTTCCGGAATAGAGCTTTTGCGAAGAAATTGACCGGGGCGGCACGCACCGTATCCTCTACCTTTTCCGCAAGGTGAATTCCAATGTTGTTTTCGTTCAGAATACTGGCTTCAATCTGGATCGTTGTACGTGCTAGACTAACCGGATGGTGTTGTTTGACTATGAAAGACCAGGGTCCATCTTGTGTAATCGCCGAGTCGAGGTTGATCACCCGGGTACGCATCTGATGGATCCCGATTGAGGTGGGGGGAGTAGAAAATAGATTTAGCTCAGAGCTGTAGGCAAACTCCGTGTCTTCGGAAAGCGTCTGCATTTTTTAAGAAAGTTGATGGCGTCGGCGTGTCGTACGTCGTCTCTTGTGAGGAATGACGACGGCAACAGGGCGCAAGCGTCGGCGAGGGCGGCCCCCGCCCATTTTCTTCTTGGCCGCTGCCGCTCCACGGTCGATCAGGCGGACGGCGGACTCCTTGCCATGTTTTTTCAACGACTCTTTTAGGTCTACGCCAGCGGAAACATCAGCGAGGGTCTTTCCAGCTGCCGTGATGAGCTCCTTGCCGACGGCTTTCCCGCTCCTCTTCAGAATAGGCATTAGAAAACGGACAATAGATCCCCAGACTGAGCTGCCCCGCCGATACGGAGTGCCCATAAACATGGGAAAGTGAGCAAGACCGGCCCCGCCAATTTGCTGCTGTTGCTGCTCAAAGACGGGTAGCCAATCAAACTCATCAGGGTCAAAAGGGAGATAATAGCGAACATGCGTCATGTCTAGTAGATTCGACGGAAATGAAGGCAGGCGATAGTGTTTCCGTAGTTTATACGAAGGGGCCGCCCCTGTCCGTCTACCAGCTTCATCGTAATAGCTTGGATGTTGTTGGAATGAACTCGGCGGTATTGAATTGCGTTAAACTCACGGGTGAACGTCTGTCCAAACTTGGTATCGCCGACTGAGAAAGTTCGTAGCAAGGGGACCAGTCGGCTGCCGACGACTGACGGCTCGACGACGTCAGAATAGCAATAGACAATGCGTCTCCCCAGATCAGGCAAGTATCTGGCAGGACCACCAGTTTTAAGTTGGGACGGCTCGAATCCGCAAATGTACGCCAACTCTTTAGAAAGTTCTAGTCGTTTTACGAGATTACGATTTATATCGAGCACTGCTTCTCCTACTGCTGCTCTGATTTTGAGTTACCTGTAGAGTGAAGCCGGTGAGATTCTTCATCCGATGTGAGCTATGCACTTTGCGCTCAATGAAACCGATCAGAGCTCTCGCAGTAATCTGGGCCTTTAGACGAGGGGGCAGATATGCCGTCCAGCGATCTTCGTTTCTACCGTCAACGTCGAGTGTGTGGCACTTCAGCATCGCAGAGAACAAGCCCTAAGAAATTTTAAAATTGAGGACGTGATTTAAACATACCTCATCTCTACCGATGGCCTCGAACAGCCTTTCCATAGCCTCCTCCATGATAGGAAGGAAGAGATCATGTACGGTTGTCGGATCAACATCAACAGTAGCCGTCACCTGACTCATTCTAAGTCCACGGGCCGTTGTCTTCTTGATTTCGATACGAAAATCTAGGGAAAACTTCTCTTTTTTGATGCAACAAAAAATACCTTCCCCGTTCAGCTTTTCTCGTTGTCTGGCCAGGACTTCAGGTGCGATTTCATGCTCTGAAATGTATAGGAAACTATTTTGTCTTTTATTTACCGTCAAAGATTGCGTTGAGACCACCGTCCTGATTCAAAATCTCATCAGTAACGTTGTCCGCCTGGACATTCACATCTACTCGATCGCCATCCCCTCCATAAATGACATGTTGAGGCTGAAACAACTGGTCTTGTTTAAAGTCCAAAAATACCACTTGGATCCCCGAAGGACCAGGCATTTGATCATCATCATCATTTTCTGTATTTTTCTTCCTCTTCTTCTTGCGTCTTGCATCTCTCTTAAGCGATTGTACTGTACTCGTTCGAACACTTACCGAATTTCCCTTTGTCATTCTAGCCTTTCTCTGGAAAGAAAAAGAATTTTTGGGCTTTTCTTGTGTGGGCTTACCTTCGGTTTACGAGGAGCATGAGGCGTTGGAGGCGAGGGGAACCGGCGAACAGCGTGGTGGTGTTTGTGGTGGTGGTGGTGGTGGTGGTGATGTTGGTGGTGGTGGTGGTGGTGAATCGGGGGGCGGCGGCGGGGGAACTACGTTGGCAACCTAAGAACGCGTAAAATCATGACCTAAGCATCTGCCTACCTGCAGTGCATGCTGACCAGGGTCAAGTATTATAGGAATACTCAACTTAATCAAGAGAACATAGAAAGCAAGCTCACCTCGTATAGCCAGGTCATGAACAAGCGGCAATTCCTGTCGATAGTAGGCCCTGTAGAAGTGGGGGGTCCGATCTGCAGAAACAAAAGAGTACGGAAATTAATTGTAGTCTACCTGACAGGTTCCCCGCAGAGAACTTTAGAAGTGACCAACGAGTAAACCGTCGCACCAAACCCCCAAACATCAGCTGACGGGCCGTTGTAGTTCCCCGCGAAGTGCTCAGGCGCCATGAATGGCGTCGTGCCGCAATGCCGGGTGAGACGCTGACCTGGGCGACACCAAGCGGCGAGCCCCGTGTCACAGATTTTTGCGCACCCTAACATCCAAAAGATTAAAAATGAAGAGAATTAGACACCAACCGTTCTCCTCCAGCATGATGTTCTCCGGCTTCAAATCGAGATGTACAATATTATTATGGTGCATCCAATGCAGGCCTTTAGCGACCTGACGAAAAATGGCAATCAGGCACTCGACGGTGAAGCCGCCACTATAGACTAAAAAAAGGCAAGTTGAGAATAAAACCAGAAAACCCGACCGCGGAAGAAACTGAGGTCCTTCCCCTCGACAAGATCCATAGAGACCAGAATAATTTTCTCCTCCGGGAAGACGAAGCGTTCTTTAAAAAATTTGAAATAAAAAGAGCAAAAGTCAAATCAACTAACCGGTGACGAGAGCCAAAAATTTTGTGCCGATGCCACGGCGTAGCACTCTGCATATTTCCATCTATACAAAAACTAATACTGTAAGCGGTAACTGAATACCTCCTTCTCCAGGTATTCCATCTGATCAGGCCTCGTGATTTTCAGTCTTTTTACGGCAACTGCCTCAACCGAACCCTTGGGTTTCCAGCGGAAAACATCACCTTGTCCGCCTAGCATCGGAAAGTTATGAAAAGGATTTGAAAGGCACCTGACTCCAGGTGAGCAATCTCCCCCTCCGGGTCAAAGGCTCCCTTGGTGACAGCCAGGAGCTTCTGTACAGGGAACCCGTTCAGCCGCGGAAAATTCCCAGCCTCGAAAGGCTTCAAATTCTCCTTATCCTCCTCCTCACATCGCATGAATGGCATATTTCTAGAAAAAAAGAGTTATAAAAAAAAGCGTAAAGAAAAATTGTGGTGTTGGAAGACCAAAAATTTGGGTCGGCGGAACACGAATGACGGTTTTCAACCACACTTACCATACTCAGCACGCGTCGTCTTACACCCTTAGCCGGGCCGTTCTTGGGACCAGCTGACATTACTGCATAAGGGGACGCTATCGAAATTTTCAAAATTTGAATTCATCCCCCCTGGAACTCAGCCAGCGATGACGTAACCTGAAAAAAAAACTCGGAAAACTTGAGCAACTTGAGCAACTTGAGCAACTTGAGCAACTTGGGCAACTTGGGCACCTCTCAAAAAAAAATACCTCATGTAATATTTAATATGTAATATTTATTATGTAATATATTTGTTATGTAATATATAATGTAATATATTTATTATGTAACATATTATGCAACATATTATACAACCTTTTTTTACCGACCCCCGGTTTCCACACACACGGGTCCCCCCCCCCTCCACCCTTCCCACACAACAGCTGACGCGCGCGGGCTGCGGGCCCGAGGGGGGGCTGCGGGATCTAGGGCCAGGGGAGGGGTGATTGTGCTCTACCATACTACTTATGTCGGAGAGGGAGAGAAGCAAGGTGGCGTCAGATATCGACGAAAAACTCATATTTAGTCGGCAAAAACCGTCTTATCCGAAACGATAAAGAGGGAGGAGGAGCAGGAGGAGCAAGACGCGCATGAGTACCGCCAGAGTACAATCAGCACTGATGGCCGCGCCAAAAAGGTAAGTAAAAAACCTAACTTTTTTTATGATTTTTTTTTTGTATTAATTGATAGTGATCGTTTCAGCCTGCCCCATGCCGTCCGAACCTTCTTGAAGTGATGAAGGACAAATACATGTTCCGGAACGAATTGCCACCGATCCCCGTGGAGATGTGTTTCACTGAGGTCTGAGGCGGAGATATAGATTTAAAATGTCATAATTTATTCAAATATTAGAATCTTTTTAAATGCATGAATTTCTTTAAATGCGATTTGTTTAAAATTTGAGAAACTTTGTCGAATAAAAAAACCCTTTTGTTGATGTTGCACTTCTCAGAGTTTATTTAGACCAACATTACACCGAAATACAGAGGAGAATATTCTTCGTGCGCGAGCCCGATATTTTTTGGGGACGAGGACCGGCGGCTTGTGTTCGTGACGTCTTTCTGAGTGAATCCTGACTGTTCGTCCGAATCGCTGAAAACTTTTCATAGTTTTGATTTGCAACTTCTCGTTTTTTTCGAACAAAGCCTTCGTGTTTTCGAACCGGTTCACCAACAGGGATATGACAGCCATATGGTACGATGATTTAAAGGCATGGGGAAGGTGAGGGGAAGGGGCGCTTTTGCTCACGCCTTTAGTTTTCGTTTCTGAACAGCCCGCGTTTTACTTCCAAATAATTTTGAACAAAAATCGAGGTACGTTTCCTTGTTTTTAATACTGCCGCTTTGTAGATTTTTGATTCTTTAAGCTCAATGGCTCCCGTGCGCGCAATGTCTGCTTCTAGAGTAGACGATTGGAATCTGATAGTAGTCTGAAAAAAATTTCGAATCTGAAAAAGTCCATATCTGACAAATTTTCATAGTTTTGCGAAAGTGCGTGAGAGAGAGAAGGAGAGAGAAAGGGTGAGAGAAAAAGAGAGAGAGAGAGAGAGAGAGGCGAGAGCGGGAGAGAGAGAAAGCGAGAGAGAGTTCTAGTGAGAGAAGGAGAACGAGAACGCGAAAGAGAAAGCCTGGTCCTTCCTTGTGACCGAAATTGCTTGATCCGGATGTAAATGACCTCTGAGTGCATATTGCCCGCCTAATTCGCGCCTTAACATTTCACTTCCCACGCCCTGCGCCATTTTTATGAAAAATGGGATAAATCGCGATATTATGTGTGCGTTCACTTGGCAGTTTACTCCATACCTAAAACGCCGCTAAACGATTTGACCGGTGCCCTAGTGGGTTTGAAGGGTGGCGTCCTTTTGGGCGACACGTCCCAGAGCTCGGATTTGGCGCCAATATATTAATGCGCGACCCCAGACCACGTTTTCGTATCAAGCGACCATTTCTGCTGTCATGCTTTCCATCCCATTCTTTTATTCCCTCTCCACCATTCCCTGGCTCTGAAAATTTTATTTGAATTCTTCCTTTTTATTAGTTCGCCTTCTTTTTCCTTAATTTTTTGCTTCTAATAGTTGTCTTTCAACCATTTTTGAACGTTGTCGAAATGTATTAAACATGTTTAGTATGTAAAACACATCGTTTGATATATTTATGGCACTTAAAATTGATTTAAAATCAACGCCGAAGATTTTTATTCAGTTCTCTCTCTCGCTCTCTCTATCTCTCTCTCTCTCTCTCTCTCTCTCTCTCTCTCTCTCTCTAGCTCACCTCATCCATTTTAATAGTCCTTCTGAAACAACCAATTTCTAACATTTCAGGGCCCACAAACCCTCACCTTGGAGGATTATTCCAAACCACGGCGTCTACATAATGTGACGTCTTTTCAACATAAAGGATTTTCCTGTTGTTTTTTAGATTTAAAAAGTGGGTTTAAATTATCCGATTTACGTCCTTCTCAATTCAAGTAGAAGTAGCGAGAGGATTTTTTTCGTTTAATACGGCACTCCATAAAGTATACCATTTTTCAGATATCTAAGAGGAAAATGCAACGATGTCTGTATAGCCTAAGAATATAAGGCATCAACTGCCACGTGGAAACAAAAAACGTTATTATCGGAAGACGTCCTTCGCTTCGAGAACTGTTAAAACAGAATCAAATTGTAACGACCCATAATGGAGGTAATTTATTTGTGGCAATCTCTATTTTTCTTTGCAGGTAGATATGATTGCAAATGGAGGGTAGAAGTTGCTCAAAACTTGCGACACAAGAAGTGCCCGGCGTTGTATTAATCACCCAAGGAAACACGAGCTATTTACGTCGAAAATGTTGACGCAAGCGAAATAAGGTATATATTTTTTAATATGGCTCATATTATAAAGTAAAACAACGATGTTACTACGCCGATGGGCTATTTTTTAGCGTTACTGAACTGTTCCCAGACTGTTGCTAATTTCGTGAAACGGCCCCGACAAATACGAACCTGTATTTTCCCTGATTGTTAGCCGAAAAGCCAATTCTGACCTTTTTCAACTTTGACGAGCTTTGCTCCATAAAAACAAAAATGAAAGTGGTATTCCAAAAAGGCTTCCTTGTGAGCAAGAGCTCGTGATCTATCCATAACGATCCAACACAGCGACTTTTTTATCCAACTTCCAGCAAAATTTATGTATATCCGTTACCGACTATCCGTTACTTGATACTTATTACGGACACCATCCCTAAAACTCACCCTCCCGAAAATCTCAAGCTACAAAAACCTATGCTAGCAAAGCGTTGCGAACCGTCCAAATAGACAATGAGAAGATCTTTAAGCTAAAATGTGTAGCCGAAAATCAGTGCAAAATTGACCAAAAGGTCTGTGAATG